GCCAAAAAACAGTTACTCAAGCAACTGGATATGATTTTGAAAACGTCAGACGTTTCAGCTAGTATCCACTAGCTTTCGTCAGTGACTGAGAGACCAGAGGGGAAATGCAGGTTTATAAGCACAACCTATTGATTGATATGCAAATAAGGTGAAGACAAATTTTTGGAAGTCGAAAAAGAAGACCCCTGTTATTCCATAATTTACCAGAAAGAGATTCAGAAATTCTCTATATGGTGAATTAAAGGGATGGATAGCTCCCTTTAATTTACCAGAGAGAGATTTAGAAATACTCTATATGGTGAATCAGTGGGCACGACCACGTATGCCGGTAGCGTTAGGTAGCAACTTCAAACATTGTTATCCTATGTGTTCTATGGATAATCCCTACTCTATTCCGATCAATTAACCCTCCCCATTCCAATCAAATATTGTCCCAGACAGCCGGACTCTGTGATAAAATCCTGGGTCTGAGAACGGCGCTTCTGTGCCTTCCCGCGACACCCCGCAAACTTTCGCTTCACGCCGAGTGACGGGGAAATTGGTCCGCAAACACACTCAAGATTTCGGTAGCCATTGTGTATAGATATAAGCTGTTTGTAAATACACTTTGGATTCATTAAGATGCCACAGGAACGATTTTTGAGCACTAGGTAACGTAAGGATGGAAAATAAAATAAAAGCTTCATACGAGCAATAGACGCAAACACACTCAAGATTTCGGTAGCCATTGTGTATAGATATAAGCTGTTTGTAAATACACTTTGGGTTCATTAAGATGGCACAGGGATGATTTTTTCAGTACGAGTTATCGAGTTCAGTGCGAATTAACGCAAGGATGGAAAACAATATAAAAACGTCAAAATACATTCAAGCAAACACACTCAAGATTTCGGTAGCCATTGTGTGTAGATATAAGCTGTTTGTAAATACACTTTTTAAGATGGCAAAGAAATGATTTTTGAGCACTAGTTAATGTAGGGATGGAAAACTTACATACAAGCTTTAAAATAGACGCAAACACACTCAAGATTTCGGTAGCCATTGTGTATAGATATAAGTCATTTGTAAATACACTTTGGATTCATTAAGATGGCAAAGGAATGATTTTTTCAGTACCAGTTATCAAAAAACACCACACAAGCTTCAAAATAGACGAGTTATCAAAAAACACCACACGAGTTACGGAAAACAACATACAAGCTTCAAAATAGACCCAAACACACTCAAGATTTTGATAGCCATTGTGTATAGATGTAAGCTGTTTGTAAATATACTTTGGAGTCATTAAAATGGCACAGGAATGAATTTTCAGTACGAGTTATCGTAGGGATGGATCCGGAAAACAACATACAAGCTTCAAAATAGACACAAACACACTCAAGATTTCGGTAGTCATTGTGTATATATATAAGATGTTTGTAAATACACTTTGGATTCATTAAGATGCCAAAGGAAGGATATTTCAGTACGAGTTAAAGTAGGGATGGAAAGCAACATACAAGATTCAAAATAGACGCAAACATACTCAAGATTTCGGTAGCCATTGTGTGTAGATATAAGCTGTTTGTAAATACACTTTTTAAGATGGCAAAGAAATGATTTTTGAGCACTAGTTAACGTAGGGATGGAAACCTTACATACAAGCTTTAAAATAGACGCAAACACACTCAAGATTTCGGTAGCCATTGTGTATAGATATAAGTCGGTTGTAAATACACTTTGGATTCATTAAGATACCAAAGGAATGATTTTTTTCAGTACGAGTTATCAAAAAACACCACACAAGCTTCAAAATAGACGAGTTATCAAAAAACACCACACGAATTACGGAAAACAACATACAAACTTCAAAATACAAGCAAACACACTCAAGATTTCGGTAGCCATTGTGTATAGATATAAGCTGTATGTAAATACACTTTGGATTCATTAAGATACCAAAGAAATAAATTTTCAGTGCAAATTAACACAAGGATGGAAAACTACATACAAGCTTCAAAATACACGCTAGTTGTGGTCCTATTCTGATACAAGTTTTGCTGATACACTATCTCATGGAAATATATGTGTATGTAGTGATTGTGTCTTATCGAGTGCAGTTTAAAACCAAAGCCTCCTGTAAAATTGTCTACGTTATTTCCTAAGTCTTGAAGTTGTAGCATTTGTTTCTTGAGAACGGCGACTCTCCTGGTCTCAGTTTTCCCTCCCTTGTCTTAAGTTCTCTCTACCTTAACTAAGCCCGATGCGTCCACAGATAGTGTATTGTCTCTTAAACGTCAGCTCACTTAACAACCGCCGCCGGAAAGATGGGTATCTTGTCAAAATAGTAGCGATAATCGGGTCTGAATTGAGTGGATGGAAGGCCTAATTATCCGACCTTATAGCGATAGAATTATATGGAGAAGTACTGAGGTATTGGCCATGTTCAAACAGAATAGTGTTTTTTTTTCTGACTTTTGAATTTGTTCACTTGAGAATGTGTACATAGCTTGGCTTGTATGAACATCTTATATTCTATGGATACCAAATTTTGGAACTTTGTACCTTTACTCGTAGAATCTCTAATTCTATCTTCACAGACTAAACCAAGATTCTTACGAATCCATGTGAACAGTTAAGTTTTACACTGGCCAAAAGTTGTACATTCATGTAATTCTGTTGTGTGAGTAATTGTGCCACAGCAAGGAAATTTGATCAAACTTCGTTACATGCATGAAAACGTTGTTCCCCTCTGTTCCCAGTGTGTTGTCTAACACGATGATATAAAGTTACTAGTATAACGTTACTGGACCATTCTGCGGTTGATTCTATTTCTGTAATCATGTCTCCATGAGAGAATCGAACGCCTTCGGGCTATCTACAAAAACCCCGTGTACAACTTCCACGCAATCAAAGAGCTTAACACTTAATGTCACGCCTTCCAGCAGAAATTAGTCTAATCGCGTTTCGGACAATGGGAAGGTTTTCTAATTTCCTGATTGATTTTTCACTGCGGAACTAAAAACACGGGACGGTCGGGAGGGTACCGAAGCAAGGTACCCCTTCCGTTCGGTGAATGGAAGTCAAAATCTCGGCTTTTGATTCTTGCTGATAACGCTATTGGTTTAAACGATGGTGGTTGTTTGGATAGACATGGCAAGGGACTCAATTCTTTCCTTTTGAATAATTTGACTTTAGATTGCCCACTAGGACACGGAAATTACGTAGTGACCGAAAACAAATCATTAGAGTAAACCATAGTATTTTATTTATATTTGTATTAAAGTTTGCCAACAATGCTTCAATTGCATTGCCATTGAGTTGACGACCAAGGGTAGCCAATTCAACGGACCATTCTTTATCAGTTTGAATACGGTGAATGTTTTCAAAGACTTTTGTTAAGTTATTAGTGATCTGAAATCTGGGTTAGCGTGAATATAACCTTTCTTTCTCGTCATTCTTGGCTGCGTGTGGCTGGAGCTTGCTTGTTTGTTCTCCACGCCGTACTATTGAAGCAGCACACAGACCTGCACACACACACACACAATGCACCACCTGCGATATCTCTTACTACTGTTAGTTCCCACCGTAGCGAGTCTTTCCGATACTGCCCACCAACATTTGTGTTACATCAACGTATCACCATGAGACCCTCACGCCGTGTAACCACTCACAAAAGACCCACAATTAACTACATTCCTCCCCTTTCTCCAAGATGACAAATGAACGCGTATCTCTTACCCATTAAGCCTTGTTTTCTGCTGGTGGACTAGAACACGTGTTCCCTGGTTTCCGCTAGTGTAATCGCCCAGGTATTCCAAAACAAAGCAACCAGGTACCAAAACAAATCTGAAGTTACACTTGATTCAATCACCTGGGCTTCAAACTGGTAATAAAACTCTGGGGTGCACAGAGGGCTCGTTTGGAACATGTGTTGGTCGCCATTTATTGGTGTAGTGGCAACAGTGTTACTTAACAAAGCCGCTGGCACAAAGGGTTGGGACTAGGTTACCGGCGATATAATTATCAATGCCCGAATGTGATGTTCTTCAGCCGACGGAGGATGAACATATGTTTCTCACATGTAACGGAGCCACTGTTGATGTTACAGTGAGGTGAAAAGAGAGGAAGTCAACAGAAACAAATACGGTTGTAGGTGTGATATCGAACTAGTTTTGTGGTTGTCAGCCGTTGGTAGACGTAGTGCACAACAGGGAAAGCTTATACGGCCAGAAAAAGTCATGTACATGTCAAGAATTGACGAAACAAAAACAAATGTACTTAGAACGAGAAAACTATACCTAACCTAACATTTGAGAACTAAACGACAAATACGAAATACGACATGTCCAGACGAGGCTTTTTGAGTGATTTGGTTGCCGTTGCTCCAATTATCGCTTGACATTTAAGTAAACAAAGTTAAAGTTAAAGCCAACTATTGGCATGGTCGCTTATGGCGGCGCCCATCTCCGTTTCTGTATAGCCCTAGGGCCACAAATTTGTGCAATCACTACAGCAGGGGGCTAGTCCACTGGTTGTGGTATGTGTTCAACTCCCATACTCTTCTCAAATGCTGAGTGCTAAATGAGCAGTATGGGCCATTTTAAAAGTCTCTAGTATGCCTCGGCCGGGGATCGAACTCACTACTTATTTTTATGTCGCCACCAACATAGAGGACAATACAATACGTGAGGAAAGTTGTTTAAATTGCCTTTCCCAAGGGCACAAGATCGTTGGCATAACAGGATTCGAACCAGGGACCTCTTGGTTCCGAGAAGAAAACTCTAACGTTACACTCCACGATCCCACAAAACTTTACTTTTCAAGCAGAGGCTGATTGAGGAAGATCGTTACCTTTCATATATGGCCCGTTTCTTTTTGTCGCTACCCCACCTTTGGTGACGTATTGGACCCTCTTTGGCCAATGGATACTGCCTGGCCAATTTGATACTGTTGCCATCCTAGGATCTGCTTGGAAATTAACAAAACTTACCACTGCGTTTCTCTTCTCCGTTGTTCAGACGACTCGAAGCCGACGAAGCAGCGCCGGAGCCGGGCGAACTACAGCCAGTGGCAGCTGGAGGAGCTGGAGAAGGCGTTCGAGACCACTCAGTACCCGGACATCTTCATGAGGGAGGCGCTCGCTCTCAGACTCGACCTGATCGAAGCCAGGGTACAGGTGAGAAAACGTCTTAACTTTTTGAATTTTAGAGAAGTAGTAGTAGTAGAAGAAGAAGGTCTGCCATGCCCATCTCCATTTCTGTAACCCTTGGGCGACACACAGTTGTGCAAGGAACTACAGCAGGGGGCTGGTTCACTGGTAGTGCTGTACGTTTGACCTTCCAACACTCTTTCTCATACATGTATGTGCTGAGTGCGAAGCAGAGAAAGAAGTATGGACCATTTTTAAAGTCCCAGAATAGTAGTAGTAGAATATTCTTCAATCAGTGACGATTTTGAACAAGGTAAGAAAGACATACCTCCAAATTTCGACGTCCACTGTATGTCTTTCTTTCTTACCTTTCAAAATCGTCACTGATTGAAAAATACTATACTAATTGTGATTTATACGTGACTGATGAACCTCTTCAATGATAAATTTTAGCCACATTTTACCGGTTTTCCATACTCGCGCATTCGCTTAAATTTACGTCGTATGGTGTGTCACATGTGGTTTATCAAACGGACATTCTTTCAGCTGTATATTTTCTTTCCTTCTCTCTGTCTCTGTCTCTCTCTGTCTCTCTGTCTCTCTCTCCCCCGCGCGGTTTCTCTCTCTTTCTCAGATACACTGGAACTGCAAAAAAGAGAAAGAAACTCCCGCATTTACGGGTAATGTCTTAACGTTAAACACAAAAATTTAAACGTACAAAGTTGAGCGTTTTTTGAACCTGTATGTACATTTTTGTGTTCAGTATCTCGGACAACAATGGTATAGAGAAGCAAGCGCTAGATAATTACTTACAAAGGGAAGGATTTGTTGTGTTGACATAATCACGGACTGTACATCGCAAAAGACACAAAAATGTTCCTAACTACAATGAAACCGAGCGGGAATGTTAAAAGAATCCTGTTCAACCTCAACAAAAATATATGAGCTAAGAGCTGCAGAATTTCCTCCTTGTTGGAAATAATAGTTGCAGGTCCGGTTTGGTATTTCTGTCTTGACTACCAAGACTAGACGGGTAAACAGTTGAGTTCTATAGCGGTAGTACTTTTCAAACTCTTTTGGCAAGTTTTACATTGCTGACAGTAGATGTTTTCTGCGGACTACAACTGGTCCTGATTCTTGAGTCTCAGATCATTAAGAGACAAAAAGACTGTTTTATTTGCGGGTTAGGTTTTGGTGCTGACACCAAATATTTAAAATATTTTTTTATTCCAACATGTAATCAGCAGACGTGGTGACGACACACACAAGTTTCTTCACCTGTAAATTGCCTTTCCCAAGAGCACAAAATCGGTGTCATGTCAGGACTCGAACCCGGGACTCTTAGTTCTCTGAGTCTCAGATCATTAAGAGACAAAAGACAGTTATATTTGCGGGTTTGGTTTTGGTGCTGACACATGTTGTGATGACTCGTCGCCCCTAATCATGACCAAATACGAGAAGAAAACAATGTCGGGGTGTTTGTTACCCGCGACGCTCAAAATTACTTCAATTCACGAAACCATCCCAGGCATGTATCGGCTTTCTCCGGCCCGGAGTTTCCCACATCTCCGGGGGACAGCGGATCTTTCAGTACCTGGCGATTGCCCGGAGTCAACTGCCGGGCAGCGGGGGCTTTAAAGTGGCGGGCGCATGTTGATAATGTTCGACACGGCCTGCCCAAGGCTCTTCCTCTATTATGGGCGATGAAATTTGTCTAAGGAGGGTCTTTAAATCAAGGATGAAGTCAATTCTCTCAATACTACTCCAAGCAGAGGTTTTGGCGTTTTTGGCGTGTTTGTAGGATTATTATAGGCCTTTCTTTCTTGTACTGGTTTCCTCTGTTACGTACAAAAAAAAGCCCGATAAAAAAAGCCTAAAAACACACTAAAAATAAACAAAAGCTCAAAATTTTGCTTGTTTATGTTTATGTTTATTAGGATCTCAATTAGTAAAAAAAAGAACAACAGTTCCTTACTATTTTCCCTGAAGTCTTGGAAGAGAAGCTTGGAGAGTAGACTTAAGGGGGTATGGGACGATCTTGTCAATAGACAATGGGGGTTTCCATCATTACTTCTTTCCTTTGTGCGTCTTCTAGATAGTCGACTTCCTTAAGATTGAGTTCTTGGACGGCTCTGTGGGTGTAGGTTACAATAAAGCTGTGAAACAATCGTCGTATCACACATCGCAATCTCAAAGAGGTGTTTTAAATGTTATCGTTGGTCCTTTCACGAGAAGCAAATCGAGGAGAGGAAGGTATACGCCATTTTCTTCAGGGTCTCTTAAAGCGCAAGTCGGCCGTGCGGTCTCTTCCTATAAGCGGCCCTCGCGTAGGCAGAGCAGGGCAGAGCGGGCTGCAAGGGCGTGACAGGATCAGAGGGGAGACTTCCGAGGGCCGGTCCGATCCGACATTTCTGTGGGATGACGTGACCCGTCTGTCTGTTCTGTCCAGGTGTAGTTTGTGTGGCAAGTGACTTGGTTCTGTAGCTGTATCTGTATAGCCGGTATAACCACCCTTCGGCGTAACACACCAGCTTCACAGGCACGCGGCGCGGCGGCAGCTAGCTATATCCCACCGAACGACTTGTTACACTTAGTCTTTGCACATTTGATTGCAGGAATTGTTTAAAGATTTCTAGTGATGATGCCCCAACTGTGCTTGGTGGCAACGAGTTCCAGTCTACGATAGTTCTGGGGAAATACGAGTTTTTGAATACCTCAATTCTTGGTTGATAACTCTGATATTTGAAGGCACGACTGTTTCTTGTTCTTTTCTGGGATGGTATAAGATACTTAGTGGTTGGTGCGTCCACCAGTTTAGTAGTCATTTTGTACATCATGCACAGTCTGTTTTGTTTTTTTAATGCCCACGATCATGACAATGATCATTCTGGCATACTCATTTTCTCAAGTGAGGAAAGCCGTGTAAAGTGCGAGCCTTTCCCAAGGGAACAAGGTTGGTGACTTGACAGGATTCGAACCCGGGACCTCTTGGTTCTGAGTCGAATGCTCTGCCGTTACGCCACACAACCCCAAGGCTTTCTCAGACGTACAAGCTTACATAGTCAGGTCCTGCTCTTGGACTTCCAGTCGACCATGTGTGCAGCTGTTGCAAGAACATCTGAGAACGATTTGCCGACAATGATCACCTTACTTGCTCATAAAAGTACTTACATGTAGTCTAGTATGTTTCATGCAGTGATAGAAAGCTTATATAAGTTATAACAAGCACACATTTTATCAATGCGAACATCTACGGTCCATACCTAAGCACCATACAGAAAATGAACTATGCAGGCAAGTTTTGAGAATGGGTGAGAAAAACGTTCTCAGTCACCAACTTCGAGTATGCTAGAAGACTCGACACCTTGAGTTGTCTTACGGATCATCTCCAAGTATTCCCGAAAATATTTGTCTATTTGTGGTTGAAGTCACGCGAGAAGAGGGCTGCCACGGCTCCGAACCTCTGATAGCCTCTCAAAGGGTGTAATTGACTCAGAAATGCGTGTTTGTGTTCTTACGCTGATTCAACATTTACCACTCACATCGCCAACAAAACAACTCCAACGCTTTTGTGAAGTCTAGTAAAACGGTTGTCCTCTTTAGAGAGAATGTTTGGTCGAATATGTGAGTTTTCTTGGGCCCAAAAGTCAGAACTTTTGAGGCAAGGAGCTTAATAGCTTTGCGGGGTGAATTGCAGAAGTCAAATCGAGCATGGATACAGGTGTAGAGTAGGTGCAGGTGTGGCAGTCTGTCGTCAGGTCATATCTCCTGCCTACATTCCGACAGAAAACCTCATCAGTGAGCATTTTCAGAAAAAATAGACAATTCGTAGAGTTATCGAGTATATATTGTGTATAAATGAAGTTCGTCTTGCCTTTTTTTATGCCTTTTAGCAACTATTTCTTTTTCTTTCTTTTCTTTCTTTCTTTCTTTCTTTGCAATGACAACGAATCAATACACAGGTTCTATTTTGCATTAACATTTACACACGTTGTCTGAAGTGGACTGGGCAAAACAACTTGAAGTGGAAAAGTCTTCAACTAGTTCTTTTCCTCTATTCAAGCTGATATTTCCAAATACAGATAATGAATTTTTTCAAACTATGAATATGTTCTTCCTGTCTGCTAACGTGTGACATCACTGTTCAAAATTCCCATCTAAAAGACTTTCAAAGCGCTTAAAGATGTACGGTTTGTCTACCTGTCTCGAAGAAAGGATGTTCCTGTCTTCAAGCGGTGCTTTTGAAGGACCCATATTGGGCGTGAAGGGCTAGGAATGTGCCAAAAAGGGTCTTAAGAACATCTCCAAGTGGCTGTCGATGACTCAAGATGCCTCCAGTCCCCCATAAGCTTGTTTACTGGGGATGTTCTGTGGAATCGACATGGAAAACATGTTCTGTTGGTGTCCACCATTGCACTAACCTGCGGTGGTAATTTTTCATGGGAAAAAGCGTCGGAGCATTCGGCATAGTTGCAGCTGTGCTAGGCTGTACTTGTTTCCCCATATACCCCGTCTCTGTTGTAAGGATGCGTAATGTTTTCATGTGCAGTGTGGCAAACAAAAACGAACAGATTTCTAGCAACATGTACTAAATGCAAAGTACGTGAGCAACGTTTTGATAGGAAAGTTCCGTACAACAGTTCTAGATCTTGATGTTAAAGGCTTGCAATACAGTTTTTAGGGTTTGGAAACCCGATTTTTCAAAGTCAATATTCTTGTCACTTATTTACACACAGAGTTAATACCACACTGTCCCGATGTATATTGACCGTCTTGGAGCAATAATACACAAACTTCTGACGGAAAAAATGGTTACTGGAAGGGCCTTAGGCTGATTTTTAAGGTATCACACAGAAAATAAAGGACTCATCTTGGGGCTTGTTTCTGCAGTTTTAAACGCCCTAAGTATGACATGCTCGTAAGTGTCAATATCACAAAGTTTGCCTTATTCAGGATATTTCCAAATTTGGTGCTCTGAAATCGCATTGGATGCCTTTAAAAGTTTAAGGAAGGATATGGGAACATCAAAGGCCTGTAGTCAATTCCCCGTGTTATGACTTCATGCAAAGACGGCCTGTGTCAACAGACTGTCATGGGAACGAGACGCGAAGGACAGCCGACCGCGGAGAACCATGGGAACAGGGCTGGAAACTGGGACCGAGATGAGTTCGAAGTCTATTGGCAAACCTTAGTGAAAAAAAAAATAATTCATTTGTATCAACAACAGCATAACTCGCAGCCGTGACATACAAGCTTAAGGCTGAATTCCAATGCTTGTTTACAACATTAATCATTAACTATTAATAGCTATTATTATTAGTCATTAATACAAATTATTATATAGCCAGAAGGCGTAGACCAAAAGTCTTCATTTGCCATTGATTATCAGGCCGTAACCTGAAATGTGGTCGGTTATTAGAATAACCGACCACTTTTTGGACCGTACCATTATACAGGGACATGACACTAACCGCAGTGTTAAGACTTGTAGTATTTATCTATCGAAACGTATGGTAGTTTAATTTTAATAATCTTTCTCAAAATACAACTGGTCGCAGTGAGAGCGCCATCCTAGTAGAATGGGGGCCATGCTCCCCACTTTACAAACTGAGACTATATATGCGTGACGCGCCGATTGAAGTAGGTAGCAGAAAAAACAACCCGGGGAGTTTGTTTACACCAGATTGTCCTAGTTTATCTTTCCTTTACTTCAACAGTTACAACCATGGTCTACTTGTGGGTCCTGTCTAACACAGCAAAAGTCAGACTCCAGCCTCCAGTGTGGGAACGGCCATTGTTAGTCAAATAATCAAAGTTTATCTACAAAATGATAAAACGAACTTTTTGTACATTGTTTGGCGTATAAATGTTGTAGAACATCATGTTATCACGTCGTAATCAAAAGATGCGTGGAAGGAACATCGATCTGTCTTTAAGTGCCAATCAGAGTGTTTTTAAAACACCGTCTTGTGTTCCCTCTAATGTCGTCCTGAGTAGGAAACGCTTGGTTGGCGCTGCGAATTTTAACATACTTGGACACAGTTGGTGTCCCGTACACCAAAAACCTTTCTCCCTACACGGCGCCAGTGGTACTGGAGTATTGAGTACCGAGTTTACTACAACTTCTTGTTAGCTAATTACTGTCGGGGTCTTTGTCAGGAGAACAAAGTGAGCCACGAATTCTTGCACGGTGCGAATGGAAACATTAGCGCGATCACCTGGCGCCCTTTTGACCCCCACCGAGTCGAATCGAGTGCAGGTGAATGTGATACTGTTTTTACCACGGAGTAAACAAGAGGTTTTACAAGAGGAGGGGTGGTATGTTGGGCTAATGGAGCACAACTCTATACAGTGTACACCGATTCTTAATGGAGAAGGCACAACGCCAGCTTGTTTTACGTACACATTGTTGGTGAGATGCTCTTAATATCGAGGTATCATACGACATCCGAGCTGGCATCTTTCAACGGCTCGAGCGTATAGGTTGCTTCAAATGGGAAACCTTACTGTGTCTCTCAAAACTCTTTCGGTGCAGGGAACTGCTTGACATACTACGTACTTTTAAAGAATACTACTTTTAAAGAATACTACTGCTAGATTTGAAGAATACTACTTTTAAAGAATACTTACTTTTAAAGAATACTACTGCTAGATTTAAAGAATACTACTGCTAGATTTAAAGAATACTACTTTTACTAGTTTTACTTGTACTATTTTTACAGTTACTATATAAAAATATATACTGATTTCTAAAAGCGTGTAAACTACAAAGTTGTGATACAAAATTAACATTAGTTCTTCTGCAAGTGTTGTACCTACGAACAGAGTATCTTTATAAGTTGAAACATCAGCAAACATTGCGTCAGTACATGTACATGTACATGTACTTCCTTGTGATGAAACCTGAAAACTTCGCGTGCAAACTCTTCTTACCTTCTTTGTTACCTGTTTTCCTGACATAATGCTCAATGGAAAGGTGTGTCCTAACCGGCCCATACCTGGGATGCCTTCATTAGTTGTTGTGAAATTCCCCAGTCTAGCGGGACACTGTCCGGGCTCTATGGTTCATGGGCTGGGCACCGGCCCGTACCTCTTTCAAATTGACCAAAGAACAACCACGTACTCCTTACAATTTAGCCTCAAACCTTTCTTTTCTTTCCATCTCTCTTTGGCCTACGTCCAAGTTTGTGTGATGATTTTAATAGTTTATTTTTCTCCATCACTTTCTATGCTTTCTGCTCAATTGGTTTCAGTGTGATTCTTTACGCTTATCTTCTAGAGCCTTTTAGTTATCCGTTGTTTACAAACAAGCCATTAGAGGCAATTCGAACTTTTACCCGACAGTCCGCTTTACCAATTTCGTCGGAAACCTTAAGAAGTAAAAGAGATGTCTTCCTTTGTTTCGCCAAGACGACACGCACTGTCTTGACCCGTTCCCACGAAACCGAAGAAACCCAACTCCTCTTCTGACTAAGCCACAGTTACCATTAGTTACTTCACCCTTCTCCTTAGCCCGCGCGCAGGGCTACTTAGGTTCCCTTCTTAAATCCACTCTGTCATTCCTGATTCGGAGACAATCTCACTCATATAACCACGATGTCAATATTAGTAAACTCTCAACTTTCCAACAGTTTCTTAAATTTCATCTTCCATCTAAAACAAATTCATCTTTGTTTTACATTAAGTTGTTTAAGCCAGCACAAATTGTTAAGGGTTAGCATTAACATGCGTTTCTAGGATATAGTGTTGTAGGTTTTCGTGGACTTAATTGTGTTTCTAAAGCATTCCACGACCCGTGGTCGGTCTTTGTTGGGTAACAGGAACTTGTAAAGGAATCCCGGCACATTAGCGCTCGGAGTAACGACCATTCCTGGTCTTCGGGTTACATTGTTTGATTGGAAAACCAAGAGGAAGGCCACGGGTCGTGAACTCTGCTTGTAGGAACTCATGTCGCCGGCAACTGTTTATCTTTCTAGAGTTGTGAAGCGTTTTAAGGAAACATTTCTCATACAATGAATGGTTCAACGTCTACCAAAATTCATTGTAAGACCACAGCAAGTAAAGTTTATGGACGACATCCTCCGTAGTCTACAAATCTAATGCGAGCGGGCGAAAAACAAAACAAGGCGCACAAAAAAACAAGGTTTCTACATTTTCAAATTTGGAAAAATCATAATCCTTTTTAAACAAAAAATGATACCTAGATTGTGTTAAATTTACTGTCAACTATTGCAACATCCATTTGTCTATGAAACAACTTTGAAAAATAAACGTTTTTAAATGGTTTTGATTCAGTGGGAAAATCACATATAAGATGATAACAATTACAGCAAACTTAAGTTCACTATAGTTAACGACACTGTTAGAAACTTGATAAACTAGTGAAAACAATTAATTGTGCTTATGGTAAACGGCATTATATTTTATACAGTAGAAATTGGTACGTAGTGTTCAGCCAATGTCTTGTAGAATAGAATTTCGTCAAGATTCTCTGTCATGTTTGTTTGTGAGACTTCTCGTTTTTAAAAGTCCTTTCAATCTTGCGTTTCTCCAGGTTTGGTTCCAGAACCGGCGTGCCAAACTCCGTCGCCAGCTCAAACTACAAGGCAAGGACCCTAAAGAAGCCCTGAAACCACCCAACTCCAACAAGAACAGTGAGGACAACGACATCGTCAGCGGCAGCGACAGCGACACCGACGACAAATCCGAGTGCGGCGGCAAGAAGGAGAAGCCGAAATTCTCCTGGCCGGGGATGAGACCGAAGGGGGAGCCCGAGATGGTGGCACCTCCCTTCGCGGGCGTCCTGCAGGGTCTCCCCGCCGGGAAAAAGGAAACGCTCGGTGGGAAATCCACGGGGTCGAACCAGGTAGAGGAGGCGGGTAGGAGAGACAGCAGCATCGCCAAGCTCAGGTCCAAGGCCAAGGAACATCTGGCCAACATCGAGGCCATCTGGACGACGGAAAGGAGTGAAAGTGAGAAGGAGGAAGAAACGAGTAGTACGGACTCTGGGAAAGAGAACATTGAAGTAGACGTTGACGTGGAGAGTTTGTAGCTTCCCCCGTCTCTCAGATATGTAGCATACCTTTTTACTATTGTAAAAAACATTTAATATGTACCCAGCTACCGGTATATTAGCATAGAAGTTGTTTTTTTATCTTAAAAAAGTGCGGGTCACTCCGACAAAATGAATTCTTTTTTTTTTGTAATAGCGAAGACATTGACGTTGTTTTTGTACCTAGCTAGTCTAGGTACAAGCAAGGCAGAAACCATGCTTCTGTGTCCTTACCATATCCCATCAAGTGTTCCTTAAAACCCCTGAAATAGTCCCTTTGTTTTGTGGTAATTTTTTATCAATCAGACTGGGGGACCGATAGGTTTTCAACAATGAAACTTGCATGTATGTATGTAGCGTTATGTATGTATGTATGTATGTATGTACAGTAAATTGTTTTTACGTTTCTTCTTGCTTATAATAGAATATCAAGCATATCATTGCTTTCCAAACATAGTATGTAGAACTAAAACATTTGGCAAAAGCTAGCATATTGGATACAGATACATTTGAAAACTGTCTAAAACTATCGCAATGCAGGAAATAACGGCAATGAAACTTGCGCAATTTGCAATAAGGTTTTCAATTCGTGTTTAGACATTTCATAGTTGCAATCTTTACCCTCTTGTGCAAATGTATACAGTAGTAGAAAAGATATCTTTAGAGGAAGTACATTTACTCGGATGTACTCTATCTGATACAGATAAACCCTATAAGAGCCCCTTCTTTTCTAGTGAAGTTAGTACAGACCATGTTGTGGTATTTTGTTTTTGTTTGTTTTTGAGTTTCTTTTTTTGTTTGTAAATAGTTGAATTGTTTTTTGTAAATATTTGCAGGTATACTCTGGCGTTGAATATCATGTCAGAAAGGGTCTTAACATTTTTTTTCACAGAAGTACCTATGTCATATATGTTATCATATTCTCATCTCAATCAGTCAAGAAACAAAATATCTATATTTCATACCGACAACGGCTTTGTAGGTCGAATATAAAGATACGATTTTTCCCAACCAAAGATTTTGAATAAAGAAATGAGAAAGTATACAAGTGTCTCAGTTTCATTTCTATCCCACTTCTAGACCACCCGGTAACTTTAATCGCTTTAGATAAGGAATCAGGAGAAAATGAGGAGATAAAAATCAGCGCCGACGGTGTGGAAAGACTGACATTCTTGCGTGAAGAGTGTAGGGTTAACGTTAGGCCACAGCAGGTAAATTTTATGGATGACATCCTCCGCAGACTCCAAGTCTAATGCGAGCGGGCGAAAAAAAACAAGGCGGGCCGAAAACACAAGATTCCTACATTTTCAAATTTTGACGTCATAAACTTTGTTAAACAAGAAATGATACCTACGTGTATATTGTGCTATGCTAGGCCACAGCAAGTTAATTTTATGGATGACATCATCAGCAGACTCCAAATCTAATGCGAGCGGGCGAAAAAAAACGACGGACCGAAAAAAACAAGATTCTACATTTTAAAATTTGACTCAATCATTGTACAAATGGTTTTGATTCAGTGGGAACATCACATATACACAGCCAGCATCACATATCACTGCCTCAGAGTAAGTAACAAAACATTAAATCAGAGCCTTTTCTTGTCTCCTCTCTTCATACTTATCCGCCACCCGCCTTCCGGCATGGCAACAGACATCTTTGCCTATTTTTGGCATATTGACCAATTTCTTTTTTTTTTCAAAATCAGGCAAAATTTTTTCCAAAAAAAAACTTACAAAAAACTTTTCAAAAAAAAATTTCCAAAAAATTTTCCAAAATCAGGCAAAAATTTTTCCAAAAAAATTTTCCCAAAAAGGCATCACCACGCGCTGATGTCATCCATAAAAATGACTTGCTGTGTCCTTATAACGGCGAGGCCGGTTGGTCGTGCATGGGTTGTCTTGTTAAGGCCACCAGGACAAAGAGAACGATCACTGGTTACTGATTTATTGAGGATTATTTTTCTCAGACGATGAAAAGTTGGAGCTACCGTAAAATTGAATCTTGACGTTATCTTGGCTCACAGGTGTGCAAAGAAACTACATATCCACAATGCTGAGTGTCTCGCCATAGTTCATCAAGTGTACATACTGTACGCGAAATAATTCACTTAAAAAGGCATCCAGTGCAGTTTTTAGGACTTGGAAATCCGATTTTTCAAAGTCAATATTCTAGTCATTTATCTACATAATGAGTTGAAACCACACTGTCCCAATGTATATTGACCCTCATGGAGCAAAAAATTCCCAAAGTTCTGACGGGAAATGGTTACTGGAAGGGCCATGGGCTGATTTTTTAGGTACCACCCAGAAAATAAAGGACTCATCTTGGGGCTTGTTTCTTTAGTTTTAAATGCCCAAAGTATGAGGTGCTGATTTAAATGTGCTAATGTGAAGCAGCATGTGTCAATATCACAAAGATTGCCTTATTCAGAATATTTCCAGTTTTGCTGCTCTGAAATCCCACTGGATGCCTTTGGATCGTACATTAAAACACCCTATTCCGCCGTATAGCAGAACTAAAATAGTCAGGGGAGCCATTTTAGTTTTATATAGAATAGAAAATCCTTTAGAAAGCTTGCAGTGGTAAACCTAGCATCTTATTCTACTTCTAAAACTCGTCACAATTGAACATACACAGTCTTCAGATCTAGTTTCCACTCCAAATGTATCAGCTAGACCTTCCTATGTAACAAAATACCGGCAAATCAAGTCATGTATAAACTACTTTTCTTTCTATTTGAACAACTCTGCTCGTTAATTACAATGTACAAAACATCGTTACGGATACTCCCTTTCATCCAGAAGACGAATTAGTCTCTACAGTTTCTAAAAGACGGTCTTAAGTTTCCAAGGAAGTCTTTTGTCGTCTTGTTTCAAACTAGGTCATGACGTCATGTGAATACATGTTACTTAAAGAACTCTCTCATCCGATTTTGTTTACCAGAAGAAGCGGTGGTATTTTCGTTTCCCGTGTCTTTCCGTTGAAGAGCGGTGTTGGCGTGTGAATGGAGGCGCTAATTGTTTACAACTTAACGGTAGGAGTGACTGACAGGTTCCGTAAACTGTACCGACGGAAGGCTGGCGTCCGAAGCACCTGTTCCCATCCCCGTATCTCTCTGTCTCAAGCCCCACGTCACACATTCACGACTTTGGTCTCCCGAATGCTAGACGAACGCCCGCCAACAGCTAACCATGCATCCGGAAGTAGTCAGCAGTGTTCTTGGCGTGTTCGGGTGTGAAACTTGACTCAAATTCGTTTGGATTTCAATAAAGCAAATTCTTGTCCGAGGGCTAATCGCAGAAACAGAAGAAACATGGTATAAAAACAGACAATTAGTACATATAGAACTACTGATAACTACTAAGAAACTACTGGAAAAACTACTAAAAAGGTAGGCGTAAATATGGCCAGACTGATCCCGAACTTCAGTCGAATAGAACCTGGATGCTTGGTTTTCGGAACCAAATTCGGAAGAAGGTCGTGGATGTGTGACAGGGGATTTTAAAGCCCGTTTAGCTCGCCCAGGTGCGCCCAGGGCCCTCCCTCCCTACCTAAGCGGGGATTTGAGCACAGAAGACGCCGCAAGCCTCCCCCGTCCGGTTCGAGTTAATAAGATCGTCGCGTCTTAGTCGATCGTGTCAGCCGGATTCAAGTTTGTTTTAGCGGGGAAACAAAATCTGTTTTCTTACGTCTGTAGTTTCCGCACACCTGGGTAAGCGGCGTGAAACGGGCTCAGCTCAAAGGTTCAGAAAAGTCGATAAGAAGGAAATGCAAGATTTGTTCGATGTTGGGTTTATCTCACTTTTCAAATCTTTCGCAGCTTTGGATTCGGCTGCTTTAAGTCTTGACGTCTTAGGAGAGGATCGTAACAGGTGTGGACTAGCGCAGAGAAAACACAGGAGCGTTCTGTACTTGGATTTTCGGGAACCGGTCAGTTTTAACCCCGTCCGTACAGCACAGTGGTTACTTTAACCAAAGCTCAAGTCATCGACGCGAAATATTCAATCTTGTCACAAAAATGTCACAGTTCACCATTATTATGTTGAAATCAACATTTGTGAAAACACTGTATACACGGCTGACTACCAGCCAATCATGGTCGAACATCCCGACTAACTCCCGACTGTGTTAAACATTTTGAAACATTCGAAGCCGAATTCGCCGAACACCAACCGACGTTGCGCCGACCTACTCCCGACCATGGTCGGCAGACGGTCGGCTAGTGTTCGGGAGGACATATTCGTAAATCCTGAATGACTATCGGCAACGGGGGTTGCTAAACGGTCTATCAACATTTCTGTTCCTGGGTTTATTATTATTGTTTTTGCGGTACTACAATTATATCTGTTATTAATTTGCCATGCTTTTTTGTTCATTTATTTGAAAAACTCAAATAACGAAAGATTTAAAAAAATCCTGAATGTGTGACAGAGGCTTTACCGGGCTTTAGGTCTCAGTTACACCGAAGTGTGATTTTACACTCTCCCCCGGATAAGTCCATATGACTCCGAACAAATTGAAACCTTAGAACCGCTCTTTGTTGTAGATGTCTTTCCAAGACAGGGATGATGTGTTACCTGTTTATCCTCCTCCTAATTGAGCGATCTTGTTGCCAGGTAACGTATAAACAACTCAGGGTCGAGAGGTCAAGTTGTGTGGGACGTGTGCTTTGTTTGTTTCGCATAACCGTTAAACCGCCTTTAGGCGTAACACACCAGTTTTGTACATGCACGTACATGTACAAGCTGCGTAAGACCAGACTGTAAGGTTTTGAACCACTCACACCGGGAAGATCCCCTACTCTTTTCGATAATTGTGGTGGGTTCTTTAACGTGCGTGGGGTGTGGCTCTCCCAAACACGGGACCTCCATTTAACGTCCTATCCGAGGGACGTCCCTAACCTAAGCTAGGTACTCATTTCCACCTGAGTAAAGTGCCTTTCCCAAGGGCACAAGATCGGTGACATGGGCAGGGTTCGAACCCAGGACCTCTAGGGTGTGAGCCGAACGCGCTACCGACTGCGCCACACGACCCCAGTGTGTTCTCACGCAGGTGCGGTTTGCCAGTCATCTCTGACTTCCTGTGAGCTCTCATGGGGTCATGGCAGGTCAATTTGAAGGAACAAGGACAAAGAACTGGGGGTAGAACTGGTTGAACTTGCGATGAAAGCGCTCACGATTTCATCTAAACTGTTAGATACATAATCTCCCCTTTGCAGGGTGACTAGAATATTAATAGTAGAAATCGGCCTGAAAAGGAATGTAAGGTCACACCGCCGTTTTATGAATGACA